ACTGACGATTAAAGTAGATAAGGCTAATACATTTTCGGTGTACTAGCGAAAATACCATAGATACTTTTCTCCTCTATATTACTCGATTTACAAGGCAAATGACTCCAAGATGTTCCGTGCATACGACCATTGGGATTATGTCGACCACCAAGCAACGCTCCACTCGACTAGCCGAGTGAGCAACAACACTAGTGTCATCATCTACGTCAAGTTGACCGCCGTAATCGCTTCAATTGGCTGAAATATCAGAAATAGTGTAGAATTTTCACTTTAACCGAGGCATCGATTGATCCAATTTCTTAACAGAGCTATTTTCAGTGTATGTGCTTTTATGTAAGAATATATAGAATTACATCGGAATTATAGTCAAGATTTTTTATTTTAACGGCATACAGTGTGAATAGAATAATTTATCACGCTTCTGCGTAACAATTAATAAATTCAACCGAGTATAAATACTTTTTTCGTTTATGACCAATGCATAATAGATAAGATACTAGTCGCAATACCTTAACCGACACAATCAATATATATATATATATATATATATATATATATATATAATACATTAAATTAGTTTATAGTAAAATTTCTTTTCATTACACATTCAATATGATATTATTTATACTAACTATACATTCGCATTGATTATTTATTGTATTTCATTGAGTTTTAGTAAGAAGAAAAGTACAGAAGTTTGGTACAGACAAGTACAATAGTAAAAGGTCATATTTTCAATTTCATAAGTCCGAATACACAAATAATATACACACGTACAGGAGCGTAAGTCATTCCAAATGCCGTAAGATTTTATTATTTGCTGATTTATAATAGCAAAATACATTACCCATAACGAATGTCTTAACAAAAAAAAAATTAACGTTCTTTTATTTAACGTAAAATAGTTATCGAATTAAGTCACATATTTTCTTTTCCTAATTCAATTTCAATACAAATTTCAATACAAATTTGTATTCATTCAATTTCTTAGTAAAATTATCGACCTCCACTATAAAGAGATAATCGAATTATAAATTCTTGTAATTCAAAGGTTTCCCTTCTTAAATCAATAATCTCGAACAAAATATCTATATAAAAGCATAAAATCTATATTACATTTAAAATTATTGATGTGTATATCGTTGAAATAAATCGCATTCAAGTTTGCCTTTGAGCTACGATATTCTTCATATATATTTGTTCGGGATTGAAGCAGTTCCATTAATTTCAAACAAAAGAAAGGTCATTTACGCAACCCGGCGTATCGCATGTGCGCCTAGGCTGATCCGCACGTGCGGACCGAGGCGAGTACTCGAGCAAAATGTTTACAAACAAAACTCGGCAAGTCCGAGCAAGTTTACGATTTGAAATATAATTTACTGCCAGCACTCACAAAAAAAAGGGATGCCTTCGAAACTTCTAGAAGCTTCGTTTTCTCACTCCAAAGGAAAATTTCTGGAAGGGACGCGCATCCACACTGTTGCCGGCGCTGAAGACGCCGCATGCACATTTAAGCGCAACGCGCCATGAGGCGATGCTCATTCGTAAAATCACTTCGCTCTCCATCAAGCGTAACTGCCGGTCAGTGCAAGTATACTGTAAAGACGCCGCGTGGCCACATTTTCGACAACATAAGCTCATTCGTAAAATTACTTCGCTCTCCATCAAGCGTAACTGCCGGTCAGTGCAAGTATACTGTAAAGACGCCGCGTGGCCACATTTTCGACAACATAAGCTCATTCGTAAAATTACTTCGCTCTCCATCAAGCGTAACTGCCGGTCAGTGCAAGTATACTGTAAAGACGCCGCGTGGCCACATTTTCGACAACATAAGCTCATTCGTAAAATTACTTCGCTCTCCATCAAGCGTAACTGCCGGTCAGTGCAAGTATACTGTAAAGACGCCGCGTGGTCACATTTTCGGCAGCATAGTAAAGAGTACCCGCGTGCATAGAAAAGATAATCGGCAATTCTTTAATAAGTGATTACAGTGAAGCCAATGGAATTGTAATCAAGGGGAACATTACATACACAGCATCGAATACATCCAACCTGCAGTTCACCAGGTACATCTTTATATTAATAAATAAAACTGGCCCTTAGTGATGTCGGAGCCCGGAGGGCCCCCCCAATGCTCCCAGCTTCACATCATGGCGTGCCTCAGCTGACCAGAGCCTCAACTCTATATCCACTGTCAATCAAGCCCCGGTGGCAGACCCAAGATGGAACCTCTCTCCAAGGAAGGCCGATGTCAGGCGCCGCTTACTAGTCCACACTATAGAGGTGGCCAGTAGTTTGAAGTCACTAATAATCATCAGGGGGGCGGAAGCAAAGAGAAACTATGCTATCTGGGGCCAGCTGCCAAATATCCGATGGGATCCTGCTGATATTGATACCAAAGTGGCTACCCTAGTTGGGGAAATTGAATCATTCACTGATGAGTACTCCTGGAAGCTGTATCACATGACGGACGACCTGGTCAGTGTAGGGACTCTATTGGCCCAAGATTCCTCCCTTCTGCTAGTTCGGGCAAGCACTACTGCACTATAGGAGAGTAAGAGAATCAGATAAGACGCGATATAAACAAAATATCCCCGACCCAACCATGGATCGCCCCGACCCTAAGACTGAGAGCACTCTCGAGTGACATAAGTCCAGAGGAGGCCTTTATGAGAGCACTGTCCGATCTCAATAGTATGGATAGCACGATGACTGATGATGTCAGGATCCTCAGGAAGAAGCGTAACCGCTCCACCTCCCCCGCCAGACCAATCCCCAAGAGAACACCAGCCAGGGGCGGCACCAGCAGTAAGAGGAGCAGAGGAGGCAGATTCAAATCCAGCCCTCCCATCCGCCACCCCCGCTCCCGCATCCGCAAATCCTCCAGGAGTCAGCAAGAGAGCCATGACAACAGTGCTTCGCCCCTAGACGATGGAGGGAGTGGGGTTTCACCTGAGTACACCCTGAGCCACTTGCCCCCCAAACCAGCAGGGGAACCAAGAGTTGCTGGCCAGGAGCTTGCAGGAATCCAAGAGATAGTTATAGTATTATAAGTACATGCCCAGCTGACGCAAGAGTCACTGTGGTTCACACACATGGTTACACATGACCAACGCAGATCGACTAATAGACTCTACAGATACGGATTATCAAATCCTCCACGAATTAGAAATACTACTTCTAATTGTTTTTCCTGAAGTATAGCTATTCATCAATCAAGCATACTCGATTCAACTACCATCTTCTCATGCTGCATCACAAGCATGATTGACTGACATCAGCTGACATTGATAACACCAACATAACCTCAAGGCAAAACAGCAATATCCAAAGAAGCCTTTATAGCAGAAAAATCACAAGAACACATCTTTTGAATAATCCAACAGAATACTTATTGCTACACAACAATATTATTATAATTGTTTACACTCATTAAACCTTGTTTTTAAAATAAATATATTATATTTTTCAGCCTTGTCCGTTATTGATTTCCTTTAAAATTATCCTGCTGAGAGACTAATCCACTGAACTATTGAATTGGCAGTTCGAGCCATAAGCTAACCCTTTAAATCCGAACAATATTATTCTTCATATATTTAATAAGTCTTATGTATCTGTTTTATTTCATGTATAAGTTTTAATTTATATTTTTAATAGAAACGACAATCTAATAATTATTGTAATATATTTTTGTCTCGATTATTAAAATATTGATTAAAAACACTCTAATTAAATATTAATTAAAAATGGATAAATATTTTTTCAAAATCTTATAAAAATAATATGATAAAAATTTACAAAAAATTACAAGACAGAAATAAACTATTTTCTGTAATAATAATAAGAGATTATTGTATTTATCTAAATATGACGTATCTGTTCGAATATTTAACTAATTACCATAAGATTTTATACGATTTTCTTAAGGGTCCTTAAGTTCTTCGATTTTTTAAAAATTTCAACAACTTTAAACAGAAGTACAATTAAAGGTAAGGTATAAATATTCATTGTTATGCTGTTAATGTAATAATAAAGAAAATAACAATAATTTTATTATATTTTAATTCTTAAGTAGATTTATTGTATAAAAATAAATATTTTCAAATATAACTTTCACTTCATTCACTCGTCAGTTTATGAATTAGTAGACGTTAATCGCGTGATTTTTTCTTTCATTTTTTTTTATCTAGAAATACATCTCTTATGTAGTGTTATCTGTTTGCGTGCAAATTTTCCCATTACCCGAAAAAATGTGTAAATTACTAAGTTGGATATAAGCACATCACAGATTTCAAGTTACCGTTTCAAAATATTGACTATGTTTCTAAAGATAAAAAAAAATAACTAATAATAATATTGACTTGTTTTTAAAATTTATCCCCTTTGTTAAATAGTCAATGGTTGACAAATGGTTTATAAAAATATAAAAATTTATAATTTTACCTACTTACGAACATATCATCAGGCTCGATAGGTTATTTTAATTTTAATGCATCTTCCGAGAATTATGGTGTATCTTAAAAATTATATAAAGCTGCTCGTTAAACTATGCCGGACGTATTTAAAAAATTCTTATTAATATATCAAAATCAAAAGAAAAGGAATTGACGTACGTTAAAATACTAAGAACTTTAATGCTAATCAGTTTATATAGAAGTGGAGTTAAATAATTTATTAATTTATTTTAATTTAATTATTAAACTATTTAAACAGAACTGATCAAATCGTTTACACAGACTTAATAATAATTATTTACCGAAGTAAATCGACGAAATTTTGTTATGTATTTATTATGGAAAATTGTTTAATCAATTCACTGCCCATAAGAACAAGAGAATAATGAAAATATTTATGGATTAAATGCAGGCAGAACGATTTCACCTCAAAAGGGTAATAATAAATGAGCTGATCCTGAGTTAAAGGTTTATTTTTTATTATTTTTTATTACTAATTTCATTGATTTAAATGAGCAATGAGAAAATAAGCAAAGTAATATATAATTATTGTTCTATGTAAGCATCAGCTAAAACAATTCAATACAGAAATGAAGTATCGTAGATAAGCAATGAGGTTGCTAACCTTACCAAAAAGTCATCTACAACTCCTATAGTTTTGATTCCTTGGGAATTTTTGAAGCTCCTCCCCTTTTTATACTATAGTAGAGATTTAACTTTTATAATGGATGTCTTTGCAGACTGTATCTTGTAAACGAATTTTTCTATATTTGTGCAATACTGAGATGTCTTGAATGGTATGACCACCTAAACAATCTCGTGCGCAATCTCTATGGTTGGAGATAATCATGTGAAATACACAGGTTTTGCTCATTAAGTTTTTTATCCTTACCATTATTAATTATATAATTATATTTCATTCATTTTATTACTATAATGAAATATTACACATGGAATTATTGATTTTGATTATGCAAAATTAATTAATAACTTTATTTTATTTCGTAATTATAATTAATATTTCATATGAAATGTGATTAATACATATATATATGTATTTATATATATATATATGAGTACGATTTAATCATGAACTGGCATTGAGTTTTTTTTTGTTTTAATTGAATTAACTTATTTATCATGGCTTAAACTTAAATACGCACACGCGTGCACATGTGACCACACATAGATGCTTACTTATATACGTAGCTTATTATTAGAATTATATGTAAGAAGGTACCGTCGGTGCATTCAAATAAATAAGAGGGTATATAAAAACATAAAAATTATATAATAATTTAATAGTAATGATGATGTGTGTAGGTGTGGGTGGGTGGGTGTGTAAGAAAGTATTTGAGAGAGGTGGAATAGGTAAACAGATTATTACACCTTAGAGGCGAGAAAGAAAAGTAAAAGAGGAAAAGACTCCATTTACTTATAATTAAAAGAGTTTAAAAACGATCATTTTCCATACATTGATTTTTAAGTGTATTGAGCAGAAATAGATTTATCGATACAAAATATGCTTATTCAATATGATTTTAAACTCGCTTTTACGATACGTTTCATCAATGAGGTGGTTTTTACATTTTTTTAAAAGTCATGTTTATATAATCGTTGCGCAATTGTTTTTCATTCATGTCTTCATGAGAATATAGAAATGAATCTATTTTTGATATTTAAGAGGCTATTTAAATGTCAAAAATGTCTATTCGTATTTTATGATTGAAACATGATTTAATTATTATATATTTTGTTCTAAAATTTGTATATATAATTTCCTTATAAATTTATAAATTCTTTTATATTACAATATAAATAAGTATTACTTATTAGTTATTTGTTAAATTGAAACAACGTATATTGGATAGTGTTTATACATATATCCATATTAAGACGAACGTAATCACATATACACACACGAATATATATATAAATATAGATATATATATATATATATATATATATATATATATACACATATACAATTTGTGACGTAACGCGAGGAACCTTTTACGCGCTACGATTATGATAGGAGGATAAAATGAATAAAGAAATGCATGAGCATTCATCGGCAAGTTTAGATAGTAAAAAAATATTTATCAAGAAAACTGAAGGTCTTGTTAGATCGACTCGTTTTTTTTTTTTTTTTCGTGTTTTCCTCCTCTAAATATCGCGTTATCTTCTATTATTCTTAATAGTATATGTAAATTGAAAAGATCTGCGCTATATAATTAATTTAACAGTGAAAATTTATATTATATTAACAATGCAATAGTATTAAAAATTGAAGTATAATAAATAAATAAATAGCAGGATGCGATAATGACAAAATGATAAATAATTTGCTATATATTGAAATTCATGGGACAATCATTGTTATTATCGTCACAAGTATCGGAGTAAGTTTCAAATTGATTTTTGGAAGGTAGCCATGATGTTATATCACGTTGACCACGTATCGAACCATTTTTTAATGATTTTTGTGCAGCCCAAATAATAGGAGATAATTTACATAGTAAAAGCTTTATGCACGGTGAGTTTCCAAAGTCGGCTTTCTCCATCAGTTGGCTTGGTAAACCCTTGTCTTCGGCTTGCCTCAGTAGATTTTGAATCTGAAAGTATTAATTAATGATTAATTGCCATGAATATTTTTTGGAATTGTAAATAAATTCCTAGCGGCCTTTTAAATAGTAATTTTTTTTTTTTTTTTTAAAGATGAAAGATTAAGAATTATCGAAGTTTCGAAATGTATTAGTTATTAATAATATTTAGAGCTTCTTAATCAGGATATTCAATTGGCAATAGGTAAAGTATTTAAGATTCATTTATCCTGCCAGCAGGATATAATATATAATAATTTGAATTGCTTAAAACAGTGGCGATAATGAAAATTCACAATTTAAAATAGTGATTTTTTGGAATATATATATATATATATATATATATATATATATATATATATATATATTACTACAAAAACATGAATAAAAATATAACGAAATGAAATTAATATAATAATTGAGGTAATTGTAGATAACATAAATATTGCCATAAGTAACAAATAGTACGCGGATAATTGACATGATATTTTTAAAATAATGCTTTATGTAGATAAATAACTATATTATTAATGATCAAAGTGAAATAAATTAAAAATAATAAGTCAATTAAAATGTGAAAATACAGAAGAAATTTTTTTACCACCATTCATGTAAACTCGTATCCAATAAAATTAATGTCACGTTAAGCTTGAGGTGACACTGATATTTTCAATCAAGAATCTTGTGTTTTGATGTAATATTTTGCATTTTTAGTCTCGAAATATAATGTAAATAAATCATAAAAATGTTAAAGAAATATATATATATATATATATATATATATATATATATATATATTACAATTTCTTTTAGTTTTAATAATGAAACTAATATGTACTCGAAACATTATTCAATTGTTGTACGAAATTGGTGTATTTTTCATTAAACTTTGTATCGGTACTAAAAATCAATAAATAATTTAAAAGAAACGTTTCTTCTAATATATTTTATAATTGACACATGGCTAAGATTTGCAAATGTGACTTAATGCTTCATTATGATATTATAATTTTATTATTAATTTGTATTTTCAAATTGAAATGAACTATATTTTTTGCATAAACATAAAGACAAAGGTGTCTTGTTATTTAGGTCTTGTTATTCAATGTTAAAGAGTTAAGCTCATGCAATATTTAATTTAAATAATTTTTATTACCTTCTCATTTTTACTTTCTGTAATCAATTTTACTAGGTCCACTGGATCCCTATTTTCGTCCATATCTTCGAAATGCTCAACTTTTGGAGTTAATTTAAAAAGTTCGCTTATCTGCAAAAATATAAACTTAAGTTATTTATATACATAACGATGATGAACATTGTAGACGTTATGAATAAAAATAAAATTAGGCTCATTACCATTTGAGCGAAGAAAATGAAACTATTGATAGTGACTGCGGTGATTTTTTTCGTATCTAATCCTAAGAATCGAAAAAAAGTGCTCATTAAGTTCGTTAATTCAAATGGCTTATTTCCTTGTTCATTAGTGAAATCAGCATTGGCCCCTCGTTTATTTTCAGTCTCTTTCAATCTTAAACTTTCCGAGACTAGATCAGCAATATCTCTTGCTGTTTCCAAGTAGTTTTTAGCATTTTGCAAGCCAGCTTTAATTTTATCGAACATTCCTAAAATATTTTTATCGCGATTGATATAGAATTATACATAATCATAATTTACTTTTCATTTTTTGTATAATGTTCTTATTACAAGAGTTGACGATTGCATTAGAAAATAGTGAAACGCTGATCATCATAAATGAAAAATATTATTTGAATAAACGACCAATTAATATACGTTCGAAAAATTTATTATTTCCCGTGATATGAATATTAAATATATTCGAATGCAACATAATAAATATTGTCTACTTATTCAATTAAACTATTTATAAATAATAATGTATAATAAATTTACCTTCACCGATAGCAAGAATGGACGATATCGTTAAAATGAAAATTGTACAATGCAAAAAAATGAAAGGTGACATGTTGCTGGAGAGACGTTCTCAGTAGAACTACAAAAGTGTTGTCAACTCTCTTAAAATCAGTGTCACCCAAGAAAACAATCAAAATTACTATAATTATAGTGAATATTATTTTAGTAAAATTTCTTCCGCCTATGTATATGTGACGTTTGTCGGTGTCTGCACTTATTGCTCTACTGCTCATGCAGGAAGCTTAATTACATCGTCTCTATCACCTTTGCTTCAGTTTGAAGTCGCGTTTGTTCAGTAACGGTCTCTTAATCATTTATTTTATCATTTTTTACATGAAATTTTCTGTTTCTACTAGCGTCTTTTTTTGTTCTCGTATTTTTCCGATCTTTGACTATTACAAATTTCACGAATTATATCAAATTGTTACGTTTACAATAGAGCAATGGGGTTGAAAAGTCATTTCTTATTAATTTTGTACATATTTCCATTATTATGTTATACGATGAATATTAGTTCCATCCCTCTTCATCTACATGAAGTTCGAAGTTTAAGTGAACTACCCCTTGAGAAATTAATACAAATAAAATTATCATTTGCGAAACAAAGTAAGTGAAAATTTCAAAAATCATTCAACGATAGCTAGCGCTTACAAAATTATATAAAAATTTTCTAACTATAATAAAACCAATAAGTAAACAGTTGCAGATTGCTTTAACGTTAAAGTGTACTTAATATTAAATATAATATACAAACTGTATAATTTCCGATAAAAAAAAAAATTAATTGAAATTTAAAACAAAAAATAATAATGTCATGAAGAGAGTGGAATAAACAAAATACTAATAACAAAGGACTCGAATAACATATAATGATTGTCAAAAATATTTAATCATCATTTGACATATTTACTAAATTATAATTTTTCACTTGATGACACGAATTTATATACAATGGCTAATTATAAAAATAATATTAGTTACACATATATGTAATTTAAATCTGCAATTCAAAATTTGAGATAAAACTGAGCTAATTTGCTTAAAAGATTCTTTGAGACTTCTTCGAGACTTCGCAAATTGCTAAAATAACAATTGAATGAAAATATAGGTATTTTAAAGTTTTTTAAGTTCAATTTCAATGACAAAGATATTTACATCAAACCTCTTTTACATACAATTCTTAATTTATTTTTCTATTCTGTTGATGTTAAGCGAAAAAAAGAAGAAATAAATTTTTGCATTCAATAAATAAACTTAATGCTATTTTAAATAAATTTTTTTTATTGCTCGGACTTAATTATAATATTAGTAGATATTAAGAGATATTTTTTTATGTAAAAATATTTCACAAATCTGATTTGTTTTTATTATTTAGTTAGATTATAATAAAAAATGCCTGAAAATTAGGAAATATTACAAAATCATCAAGCAGCTTATATTTTGTACTTTGTTTAACAGCAGCAAAATTTATATATATATACGTGTGTGTGTGTGTGTGTGTGTGTGCACTTTTACTACAAAATAATTTTCTCTATAGATTGCGTGTATTATTAGTAAATTTAAAATAAATAAATATGAAGAATTAAAGCGAATGTAATTGTTGGATGTTTTGTCAAATGAAATATTTTGCCAAAATGATATATTCCATAGAGGATAAACTGCTTAAGTTTTCAATGTTTTGCATAAATATTAATGAATCTGGATGAATTGGTATTCGTTATAAAATTCAACTTTACAATTTTATTAAACTCGAATAAGATTATTAATAAAGTATTTCATGAGTTGATAATAACGGTATTATACATAATAATATTGTATAATTATGCACAATTATTGTATTTGAGGGTAATTGGATGAAACGTTGAATTTCCTTTTCTTGTTTGAAAGAAAAAGTTCATCCGGTTCAGTTTTAGTTAGCTCTTACTTAGCAATATTGATAAATTTCTATTTCTTTCATTTTAGTCAATTTCGTACAGCTTTTCTATATCAACTTATCGATCTTTCTCAATGTTATTTTCTCATTTATTATAAATTAAGTTATCAGCCTTTTGGAGCTGAAAATTCTCTATTGCTTGATGTGGAAGCTGTGGAGCTTGAATTCTGTTTTCTTTATTATTTTGTGTTTAAAAAACATGTTTTTGTAAATATATAATATAAACAATATATTGTAGCTGACTTTTCATGTTATTTAAAATCTTTGAAATGTAAATTCGCAACTTTTAAACAAACATTACAAGTTCAATCTTGCAAAAGTATTATCGATTTCATTTTTCTTTAGTGTTATTTTTATTATATTTGTTCAATATGCTTCAATTCACTTATTATTAGTATGATAAATTAATTTTAGCTTTTACTTACTCTTTTATACATATAAAATCCGTTAAGATTAATTATCAGAAGCCTTATAAAGCGTTTCTATAGATATTTTCGTATAAGAGGAAAAAAAAAAACCAAACAAAAAATAAAAATCAATAACTATAAATTGTGGCCGCATTATATTTCTTTCAACATTTTTTTTTTCTTTTTTTTTTTTCTCAAAAACATCGTATATTACATTTGACATTACATTGTTTTTTATGCTATTAAACGGAAACATTTGTATAGGTCCAAATATAAACAATGCTGGCTCAGAAGGCAGAATGCTTTCAACTATTTCCTTACCAAAGTCAATGCCTTTACGAAGAATGGGCAGCAAGTCAATTCGCCGTTACGAGGATTGGGGAGAGAAGAACAAGGATTCGAAAATATCCAAGATTTTTCAATTAACTGTGACGGCCCTCTCATTTTTGGCTTTCGGTGGTTATTTATTGACACTCATCATTACGGCCATCAGACGCGGTCAAAATGCAACTACGCCGCCAAATCTTATAGTTCTCTCGGTAAAAAATTATTTATAAATTATTATACTTCACTTACTGTCTTACTCTATATACTTGATTTATTTAACGTTAATATAAATTCCCTTACTTTTCTTTATAATTCCTTTTCTTTTTTTTTTCTTTTTTTTTATTTATTTTTTTTTTTTTTTTGCAAGCCGCGGTTACCTTTATAATTAACATACGATAATAACATGTTGACTTAAATCTTGTTCTCAATTACCCAATTATAAATAACAGTTGCAACGAACGAAGCTTCTCATCTGATTTTGGGGGAGTGGATGATAATACACCTTGTCGATCTTGTGCTTAATTTTGTGAATAATTTTGCTTTGTAGGGTTTATTCGTTTAGCTTTGATAGCATTCAGCAATTGACGATCGTTCTTATTGATCGCTAATCAGCTTTTCCTTTATCATTATGATGGCATCAAGACTTTATGATTATTAGTCTAATCCAATTCGCTGTTTTGTTTCAAAGTATCAAACACAGTTATATTAATTAAAATCTGATACAATATTAAATTACGAAATAGCTAAATATTTATTAGTATAAAATTAAAGTAATGCCACTCTAAATTGAATATAATGGCTCTGAAACTACCCTGTTTATCATGAAATGTAAGGAATAAATCAAAAAGTTTTGTCCGTAATATTAAATATCGCTTTTAAATGGGTGAAAATCATCCAATTAAGTGGTCCTCGTTAGTGTTCATCGACAAAGTCGTATTATCAGTATTTGCGTGTCTCCATTGACCCTGCAAACTTTGCTTTATGAGCTTTTTTTACAGTTTTGCTCGAACATTATTAATCGTCCTATTCGTAGTACGATAGTGTTTAAAAAGGATGTATTTAAAGGGTCCGCTAACTATTAGTATTTTGCAGGCGATTACGCCGAATTTTCGACATATAATGAACGATCAGTCAATATAGTATAGTCATTAGGAAAAGCATACAAACATAATAATAAAATAATATATATTTTATAATAGAATGCCAATGTACGAAATTTACTGCAAAAAAAGGATAAAAATTTTTAATAAAAAATGAATACATAAATATTTAATTTATAAGTAAAGTACAAATTTTTATTAAGAATTTACGAAATTTAATCTTAAAACTACTACTTATTGAGATAAAGTCTTTCTTTCTCTTGCCGTATAATCGATATGTACATGAGCTATGAGATATGAAAGATGAGTAAAAAATGAGAAATTCATTAATAAATATATCGAATAATAAATATCCATTATAAACATATTGAAATTTAATCATTAATAGTTCATAAATTATTTTTTAAATTATAAATTTTGCTTAGGCTATACAGCGAATTTATCATAATGACTAATTATGACTCTTTAATTTTATTTTGTGCTGATTTATGAATAAATGGCTACATTTATCAAATTGATTTAGATAAAGATTGTTCACGCATAAATACAGACGGCTTGAGGCTCAATTAAAGAAATAAAAACACGAATTGCACATATAATATATAGAATGCCATAATATCCTAATCCGCATACTCGGATTAAATTAATATTTTCATTAAAACTTACATTCCTTAAAAATGAGCGGTAATCTTAAATATTATTTTAATTTCTTTATCCATTACATTTTAATACTTTTTTGGAATGACTTTGTGTGTATTTTGAGGTTGAGTAGGTGTAGTCTCTAAAAGATAAGCTGTTATCATGCACTTATAAATATTTCTTCCTTTCATTTTTTTCTATACGTTGTACTTAAATATGTATACACTCCCCTTTTCTATTTCACTAAAGACTTATCTGTATCTTTTTTATCTAGTGTTTTTTTTTTTTTTTAACTGCCTGACTGAACGTTGTGTTAAATGCGTAGGAACAACGTTAAATTACAACAGCTATTTCTAAGTGATTAGATACCCTAAAAGAAATAATAGTTTGCTAAGATGCTGCACTGTGTAAAAGGCATACGTAAATACTTTATAAACTTTTTCTATTAATATTAAAAAACTAATAATTAAATATTTATATAATAAATGGAGATTAAATGCAAACAAAAGTATTGAAATATATTTATGAATTTTAGAAAATTTGAAATCACCTTACCGTATTATACTATATAAAATTATAATGTTACTATTTTAACTTGTTATTTGATATTTGGAACACCATGTAACATAATAAGAACATACTTGGCTTCGTGTAGCATTTAGGGAAGTCTGTTTAATTTCTTATTTGACTATAATGTTCAAGCCAGTTATAAATAGAGCCAAATCCTTATATTATACATCATATGCGATGACAGTTTGATGTTAATCAATTGCACAATTACATTGATGATTATTTCAATATTATAGTATCCAATGATAGTCAATAGTTTTTACTTCTCGTAATGTTTAATTCTCGTCATATGTGTTATATACTTGCGGGCTATAAAGCTTATATAGCTTTTTAATAATTAAATACTAATTTAAATTTAATGAAAGAAAATTAAGAATCCGTAGTCACTGCCGATACAGATATGAAATTACATCATTGTGTGTCGCAAATGAAAAGTATATCTAATTTGCATGTCAATATATCAATTAACTATAAGAAATTTATGAAATGAAATAAATTATTATTTTACAGAAATCAAAAGTTTTTCATTGTTTGAAAAAAAAAAAAAATCTTTGCAAAAACTTTTTCGATTAATGTAGATAAATTCATTTTTTATGTTTCGTAGTGAATTTTAAAGAAATACATTAAAAATTCTGCCGAACGTATTTGAAAAATATCTACAAGAAATTCGAAATTTAATTCATTATAAATAGAATCAGCATCAATATAATATTTAGAAATATAAATTATATTATTATTTAGCTTTAAAATTTGTCATTCATTAAAAATGATGGTATAATTTATATGAAAAAAATGTTGAAATATATAAATAAACATTTATAAATTGGAAATGTTATATTTGCCACATATTACAAATATGTCTCTGTTAACTTGATGTGAATAGTAAACGAATATTTTATTTTTTTTATGTTTAAAAGAACAATGAATTTAAAATATAAAATAAATAAAAAATATAATTAAAAATATTTTATAAATCCATAAAACTCATTTTATATGGACATTTTATATAACAAAACGGAATCTAGTAATTTTATTTATGTCATTACTTTTAAGACATATTACATTAAATGATTTTCAACCTTTTTATGCCTGCAAACACGCACGCAGTATGCTTGTGTATGTTCGTGTGTACATACATACATATACATATACATATACATATACATACACACACACACGCACACGCACACACACACACACATATATATATATATATATATATATATATATATATATATATATATATATGCTCATATACATGTGTTTGTGTTTGTGTTTGTGTTTGTGTTTGGGTAATACACCGTATGAAATACAAAAACTGAAAATAACACGAATTCATCAAAATGCGAATGACGGCAGTGCCCGTATGGCAAACTATAACTGGATAAAATTTGATTAATAATGAATGTGGAGATGTGAACTCAAAGGAATTCAACCCGAACGAAACTACATGTTTGGCCAAATGAATACTTGAATATTAGTGAAAGAGAATGGCAAAAAATTTTTTGGCAACTTTACTGATATTCCCGGTCCGCGAAAAAGTTAAATAAGGGACATATGGAAACAATGTTAGTATTAAACATAAAAAAAATCTAATCTACGGAAGGATACAGAGATGAGTTTATCTGCAACATCATTGGCAGTTTTTACCATGTAATATCCGAGTCGATGGCGTGATACGGAATATCGAATTAATTCATGTTTTCCACTCTTTCAAATAAAGATTATCTTTTTATTTTATTGAAAATAAAGTATAATCATGCGGCTTAAAAAAAAAAAAAACTATATACATATATATTCCCGATTCTCATTAATTATATAAATCCATATTTGTTTTTACTAATTTAATCATTACATTATTAACGAATAATTTATCCAAGTATGTGATAGTTTATTAAATACTACAATTAATTAAAAATAAGATATAAATTAGGAAAATATATTAAGTGACGAATTTTTGCAAAAATTTTGAATAATTCAACCAAAAAAAGAACCAACGGCGTTTCTTTTCGTTTTTACATATCTTTCGTTTTATCTTACAGTATTAATATATTTTAAATTATTAACTACATATTATTTCCTATCACAGTAAAAATAATAAGCATATTATTATTGTAATATTATTATAATTATAACAAAAATTATAATAAAATTACCTTCACAGTAACAGTAGTAGTAATAATACTAATAATAATAAGTGGAATATTCTATTGATGCAATTTAAATGATAAATTTCATAATTCATAAAAAATATTAATAAAGTAAGAACATATAAAAATATATAAAATGCTTTCAGGATCTGCAGAATTTACAAAAAATGAAACGCCCCAAACGAGGACTTTTCATACACGATTCAGAGGAAAACGAATATGATACAGAACGTTTTTACAGATGCATGATAATGATATCGACTGAATTGCAAAGCTATTACTATTGATAATAACTTGATTATTCTTTTATATTTTATACACTACATTGATATATATATATAAAGCGTTTTATTAAAAAGGCACATCAATTATTTATCTTATTATAAATCTATCTTCATGATTAATTATTTAAAGACATTTTTTTTTATCTAGATTAAGCAAGGACTGTAATTAATTTGCTAAATTGTTGATGTTTAATAAAATCAAATAAAAAAAATCTACGTATGAGTATAAATATCATAAAATTATTTTCGTCGAATCGTTGGTTTTGTTAAGAAGTCAACAAGCACACAGCCATGAGCTGCTTAAATAAATCGTCATTTACATACTTTACCGGTCTTCTTTATACAAACACAAAACTATATATATATATACATACACACATGGAAAATATAACGAACGTGTAGGGGATCATGATACGCGTGTTTAGGCAAGCCGCTTTTCATCATTAGCTTAATATCAACACCAGCACCGGACGTGGCAACAAAATTAAGCAGCTATGCTTATCACCACATCCAGCACTTTAATAGGTGGTCAATCGCTTCAACATAATTTGACGAATAAACTTCTGTAAAACGTCACGCGACTACAGACGACCTACAATCTATAAGTATATTCAGTAGCAAAACTAATTATTCTCGATTCTCCATCATTACACCCAACATTTGAACATATCAACGGTTCGGTCGGTAATGTAGAGTAGCGCCGTCCGATCTTCAGTCATAACCCATAAATATAAACGCTCAATCCTTGGAAGTAACTTTGTAATCATTGTTAAACGAGGTTGAATTATAATTTTGAACTATTAATGCCTTATGGATAAAATTTTCTACCCACGACATTATATAAAAATGATTCTTATTGTATAATAATTATATTCACTTAACTTGTAATAGGCTTAACTTGTATTTGTTTATCAACGAATAAATCTTTTTAAATCTTAAATATACTTCATTTATAATACAATAAATAAATTCAAATAGCCAATTAAAATATATTTGAAATGTGCGTGCGTGTGTGCGCGTGTGTGTGTGTGTGTGCGCGCGCGCGCTTGCGCGTAAATATAAATTCGTAAATTAATTATAGAATACAATGTGTTTAAACTATTTGAATTATATAAAATAATATCGAACGTTTAATAATCTACGATTAACTTCATTTTGCAGATGCAATAACAATCTTTATTACACCACCATCTTAGTTTAGTAAAATAATAGTGGAGTACTTTTCGAACAATATTTCATTACTTTAAAAAAATAATATCTCAATTATCATACAATTCTCATTACCTTGTAATTCTTCCAAGGATAAATAAGTATGTAACCCGAGGACAATGAAAACAAAAATATTGCTCTTAAATATGCTTATTTTATGTATTATATTTTATCATTTTCGTTGATGTTTTGCTTCGACTGTATTACTTTGACGTGCTTTGTATGTACTGAGATCGTAATAATAACGATTGTTCTTTGTTTCACTCGAAAAGTAAGAATCTACAATGTGATGTAATATCGCCAATTAATATTACGTTCAAGTTCATGTTTTGGCCTACCAGAAAATATAATAACAAAATTTTTAAACAGACCATCGATAAAATTAATTATATAATATAAGATATATAATGTAAGATTTGTCGTGGGCGGTAATGTGAGAAATAATCGATGCATCGATACATGTTTGTATGCAGGTGTCCACTATGAGTTCTAAGTCAATTTGCTGGATTGATCAGTGAATATTCATTGTTCCTTAAGCTTTAAGTGATCTGAAATTGCTCACTCTACTAAAATTATTATATTTTTAGTCAAATACGAAGCAGACTTATACATGGAGTAAAGAAAGATGCAGTCATTTATATTATCATTTTTCACCATTATCAATATATAATTAATAATAAAATTTTCTTTTTTAATTTTCGTATTTACTTACAAATGCATCAAATATAATTGCATAATATGGAATCTTAATTATAAAACAAAGGATTTTTTTAAATAACATTAAACTTTTTAAATAATCTTAATTAAATATAAAATTCGAAGTATTGACGATGAATTATACTATGCAAACATTGAAAATATTTACAAACATTAAATTTAGGAAATATTTTAAAGTTAATTAAAGTTAATCTACTACTTATTTTCATATTTAATAGTTTAAATCAATACTATGTACAATGGAAAAGCTTGTACAATTATATTTTATTCTTTTATAAGTTGCTTTTCATAAAATGTATATACATTTTGTACATATGTATATATGTATATATGCATATGAATATATATGAATGTATATGAACAAATGTATATATGTATATACAAGATCCATATACATTTTCAACACAAGTATAAAAAAACTCCTTTAAGGAAATAATAATAAAATTATGACAACATATTGATATTAATAGTAATAATATCAATATTAATATATATAAAATATATTTTCTGTCCGATTGAATGAATTTTATTTTACTACATTATTAATTAAAGACATATTAAGAATACCAAACAAATAATATTTTATACACATATAAAATAATTTTAAAATACATTTTTTTCATAAACAAGTGTGGAAATAATTTAACTCTAATTCAAATGTTTTGCAACTTAATAGTTTATGAAATATTATCATGTTAAGAGTTTCAGAATTCAAGGAATTTGATAATCTGTATTACATATAAATTGTAAAGGCGTTGCGGTTTATTAGCTTAAACCTCTCACTATTCATACTTCTATCTGTTATTGACTTCCTGTATCACTGAACCGCATTTATCAATTAACCAAAAATTAAAATATGAATTGTAAGGATTTTAATTTATTTTACTTGTTACAACGATTGCTTCTACTCAGTTTATCGAGTTGGATTTGTTAGTATTGGAAGCCACAAGTTTTTCGAACTATGTATACTATTCAGATACATATATAATAGAACTTTTGGATTATAAATAAAGACTTTTATTAATAGAATGATAGTTTTTCATTAACATTTGAATAATAACAATTATAATTATGGAGAATATTATCGACAGAATATAGAGATACACTTTGTACATGTACCAATTGCATCTTTCGAAATAAAATAATTTAAAAACAAAATAATACATTATAATTATATATATTTCTCTTGAATGTAGTGTAACCATAATCCCAAGTGTTGATATTAAAAATTGCAATTTAACGTGTAGCAATGAGAATGCATTTTAAATATATACGAAACAATATATTTTATAATATTTAAGTTTTACTGAGAAATTTCGCTAGTTAAATGCTCCTTAAGACTGGTTGATATTTGCTTAATTCAACCATAATTCTTATTGATATAATTGTAAATTTTATTCTCGTATACATTAGTGTTATTTATTCAATTCATTTGCCTTTTTTGTATATACGTATTATTATTATATATATATATATATAGTAATAAGCGATTGTTTATTATATTCTATTTAAGAAATTGTAGGGATTTTTAAAGTTCGTAAAGATCGGAAGGATAATTGGAAGAAAGCCGAAGATATGACACGATTATAAAATCCTTTATTCTTGGCAAAAGTATTCTCTTAAAACTTTATAAAATTGACATTGTTATGTGCCCGAAACTCTTCGTTCATTATAATTGAAATGAATATGAAGAATATGAAAATTGTCGATATTTTAACTTTTTAAACATACTATTTTCATAATCATAGATTTTAGGAGTACGTCATAACGACATTGTTTATTGGTATTTATTCAAATAAAATAAAAGGATAAGTTTATAACGAAATTAAAAATACTATATACCGTGGGTTCCTAAATCACTTTTCGTCTCATAATTAAGTCATAAGTTAACATTGTTAAATTTATTAAATTAAAGCCATTAATGAGCTAACTCAATTACTTTATAAAAGCATTTATTTATTACTTACCCATATTGTTAATAACATCATTGGACAGATTCAACATGCAATAGTTTTTAGATTAGCTTTGATATGCCATTTTTAAGATACGTAGCAATTAAAATTAATCGGAAAATGTCTAGTTTAAATGGTTTGAAGGTTTTATAAGGAAGTTACATTTAATTTATTACTTGCTTCATAATTTTTCAACTTATTAACAAACTTTATATTTTTATAGAACCTTATTACGTGAAGAATCATGTATGGACTTGTTTAATAAAGCACTTATATAAATGTTGTTTCATTCATATTTTTTTTATTTCGATCAAGATTATTAAAATAGTGGTTATATATGAACTATCTATTTCCAAATAAAATTTTTTTATACACAGTACCGCGTTTAATTAAATATAATCATTTTTGATTGATACATAAAAATTGAATTTTATTATTGTAAATATTGCAAATAATAATTACTAATTAGAACTTCCATAATTTTCTAATCTCGAAGCTATCTATCCATGTTAATTAGTTCAGAGATAATTAAGAATTTTTATTTATTAAAGTATTAAGTTATTTAAAAACAAAAAAACAAAAAAAAAACATTATTGAAAAAAGAATGACAAATAAAATTATTTCGCTGTAGTGAATATTATTTTCTCATAATTTTCAATTTAATTTAATCTATAGGATGAAATTGTATTTTTTAATATTCTACACCTCAGAATGCTGATTTTGATTTTTTTCAACTCAGCATTGTAAAAATCGCTTATATATTATAATTTTTATAACATTATTAACATTTCCATTAAAAATAGTATAAATATTACATTTGCTTATGCTTATTTATTAATCCGGATTAAAACATTTTCGACAAAAATTGATATAGCAAAAAATAATATATTTCTTTAAATATGTTATTAATTTATTAAACAATATAACCGTAATTTGGACTTAAGAAACTTACAAGGCAAATAAAACTAATTCAATTTTCATATTTCACATCCGATATAGAATGATTACGCTCAGAAAATCCGTATTAAATGCCTTTCGACTAGAATAAGTCAAAAAGTATATATCTAAAATTGTAAAGTAATAACTTTTAGTACGTAAATTTCGTTTCACGGTATTTTTATAATTTTAATTGAAATTCAAGCATTACAAGCTTATATTTGATGCATATTACAAAATGCAATTATTTCCAAAGTACATCATGCTTTCGTGAACATAAGCAATTAACTTAACATTTTCGAACTAATCATTATAGTAATAGTATTTTCGATATGAATGTTTGAAGTTTGGATTATAAAAAATCGAAAAAAAAGGGAAAAAAAAGGGAAAAAAAAAGATTTGATTCTATGATATAATTTACAAGTAAATAATAATCTAATTCATAGAAATTTTAATTCCTATCGTTACATTAATTTTGTTAAATATCGAATATTTTAACTCGATACAAATATTAGAATAAATTAACGATATCAGTCTGGATATGTAAAATTAATTCATCGCTAATAATATGTTGCTTCCATGTCGATTTTACTTAAGAATATATAAATTGTTTTTAACAAATAAGAACGAAACGACTTAACGATCATCTTAAATGTAAATTATAAAAAATGTTTGATCCTAAATAATATGGTTAGAAAAGTGATAGAATGATTGGGGGAGAAAGAGAGAGAGAGAGAGAGAGAGAGAGAGAGAGGTAGAGATCGTTTTATTTCCAAGTAGCTATTCTTAACAATAATGTAGAGTTTCGGTTTATTTGTGCAGTGTATGCGAATGAAGCTGAACACGAGCTTCTCTGGACCAATCCTCCGTGTGTCACGCCCAGCGTAAGTGGGGAAACCCAATCAGAATGTCTTGACAGTCTTCATACCAACGTGCGTGCATAGCTTTTCTCCCAAAAAACAAATTCATTTGCAACTACTTGAGTAAGAATGGCGCCCCTCTGGGTTAGCCGTTACACTAGGCTTAGTGAATCTTGAGTTTCCACAGCGTACTTTCAATTCTACTATGAAAATGTCCACGAAGAATTGTAGTGTTGAGCAGTTGAATTTTGGTATAGACAAAATACTTTCTAATAATTATTCATCGATTAACTTCGGTAAGTTGTGCCTTAATTTCGTTTGTTTATTTATAATGTGCTTTTCGAAGCAATCAAGTAATTTAAAGTAATTTTTACAACTCAATCACGTGGGCCAGAACGTATCACTGTAGCTGATAGGTAATAATATGTTTGGACAGACATACGTAATCGCTCCTTTTTTTTCTTTTTAAAGATAGCAGCCAGAGGTCTTAGCATAGCGTCAAATTTTTCTTCTTCAATACATAGTGCACACTAATCGACCAAATATAGTTAATATATACTTTATATTATTTATAGAGGATATATTCACAGCTATTATGTAATTTATAAAATTTAATAACTAATATATTGTTAATAATCACAATATGATAAATTCTTAAATATAGATATATAATATATATACGTAATTAATGAATATTTGATTTTTATAAATCTGTAGAATTAAAAGTTCCTTATACGAATACTATTATTATATTAAATTAAATAGTTGGGATAAGTCATATTGAAAAAAATAATAAAATAAAAAAATAAAAACAATAAAACAAAAATAAAACATAAATAAAACAAAAAAAAAAAAAATAAAAAAAAAAACAAAAAAAAAAAAAAAAAAAAAAAAAAAAAAAAAAAAAAAAAAAAAAAAAAAAAAAAAAAAAAAAAAACAAAAAAAAAAAGAAAACAAAAATTCCAATATCAATAACGAATTAAAATTCATAATTATACTTTATCCTCAATTTACCTCGTCATTTTATTCATTATAAATAATGTATAGAAATTTTATTCACGAATAAATTCTACAATAGTTGTAAAGCATATAGTACTTCATATTTTATTTATATATATTCCTAAGACTTTAGGGATGAAATAATAATCTTATTTGATAGATGCTTTTAGTTCTATAATATTATACGTTTTATCATTATAATTCTATAATTTTATAATTTATTCTTACAGTTTGATGAATTATTACAATTTTTAATATTAAAAATGTTTAAGTAACAAATTAAAAGTTTCTTTTTTTACAGAAAAATCAAGCAATTCTCCATGTTCTGATTATTCTATATCATATCCATATTCAGAAACCTACGAATCACGTAGTTATTTTCATAATTACAAGAGTTTTCCTTGTTTGCAAGATACGATGTCACCATTAATCACAACACTAACTGATAATTGTGGAAATATATTTAGTAATGTCAATAATATTATTAAGCCAGATCCAATTCGCCCTATGCCGAAAGGTAATTTGTAATATAAACATTTCAGTTAAATGCAGTAAGAATCGTTTCGAAATCGAACCTCTGCATCTAATATAATTTATGCACAAATATACATGTCACTAACATTTTACTTTAATAATTGTCTTATTAACATTGTAATATAAAGACATTTTTGCTTTATGTCTATCGAGAATTCTTTCATTTCATTTATAATAATGAATGCATACATTCATTTTTTTTACTTTCAGATATACGTAAACGTTAGTTCACTTATTTAATGAAAGTACTCAATTGCCTTAGATTAAAAGTTTAATTTTGATAAATAAAATTACTGAGAATATATTTTTATATAATATAATGTCAATGATATAACAAACGAATGGCCTGTAAGGCGAAATAAAGAATTAACATTGTAATATCATATTTATGGTGTTAAATATAAACAATTGTCATATTGTGAAACATTGCATCATTAAATATACCTCAAGTCTCTTAACCCACATTTATATTTGAAGAAAAATGTTCTCTGACTAATTTACTACAATTCCTAGACGATGACATAAAACAAGCCCCTCATACGATTAACAAATGCCGCCATGTGGGCTACTGTCCTGCTTTACGAATTCTCGCGTGCAGGCAAGTGAGGCAAAATATTTACGCGCGAGTGTATTCCTGTTTCCTGTCTGTGTTTAAAATGACATCTTAAGTGCCACTGAAGATTTATACTTGTTCCAAACAGTATCCTTTACCGACAGTTTATTGTTCATTCGATATCATAGCTTTGGCTTAAATCACATTAATAGTTAAAATTATGCTCTACGAATTATTGCAGCCTAAATGTTCATTTTTTAATTTATTTAATTTATGTTCATTGTAGCAATAAATATTATTTCAAATAATGACTGAAAAATTCGAATATGCTGCCCGAAGCAAATACAATCGCATTGATTAGCTCTATTGTTCACACATGACTTTAAATAAAGTGATAATATTTTTCTTTTTTAAACAATCTTTAAAGGTAGCAATGGTATTTTCTTTAAACTTTCTTCGAGAAGATTTTACAATAAGTTTATTATACAAACATAATATATGTACATATATTAAAATAAATGTATATCAAAAAAAAAAAAAAAAAAAAAAAAAAAAAAAAAAATATTAACAATATTATTATTGTTAATATATGTTTATATGTTTATTTTTATTTTTTTTTTTTTTTTTTTTTTTTTTTTTTTTTTTTTTTTTTTTTTTTCTCATTGTTCTTTTAAAGAGATACATTACTAAAAACAGATGGAACCAAGTATTCATAATATACTTTGAAAATTTATTGTAATACAATCTTCCGTATTTAATGATAGGTGAATTAAATTAAGTTTCCTAGTTTAACAACAACTGGTAAAGCTAATAATAGCCGACTATTATGTTTAAAATTGGTTTTCTTCGTTATATACTTTTTAAATGAAGCCATAAACTCAAATTTCATTGTATAGATGGATGAACAGATATATACAGGGAAATACAAAAGGAGGAAAATAGAGAAAGAAAATAAAAATGAAAGAGTATAAAAGTTATTACTTTGTAAATGCGGAAGTCATTTTAGTAAATCTTTCTTAAAGATTTTTTAATAAATCTTTCAGATCTTTAAATAAGTAAGTAAATAAATATTATATAAAAGGCATCTTACATAATTATGTATAAAATACTTTCTATACTTAAAGGAATAGGACGTATTGCCGTTTTAATTGAACTTTTGGTTATTCGAAACTGTATTTCTTAGCAGCTCGAGATGATGTAACAATCGTAACGTTATAAAGAAACATAAAACGTATTATCGTATTTTTAAATGAATTTGTCAAAGTATTCAAATATTATACATAGAGCATACGAAATTACAAAAGCTTTGATCTAAATGCTTTTATTCGGCGTCTCTTTACATTTATCTGATAGGTATCGATCGATTTCCCTCGAAATTTCACGAAAATTTCATAATAAAATTGTCTTTGGTTAAGTTTAAATAGTTTTATATGAAAAATTATACTTCTTATGCGGCGTTGAGAAATTAATTACGTATTCGAATTTTTTAACGTTGAGATGCATACTTATTGAAATAATTTACAATGCCTACTTATTAATCTTAATTAATAAATTTATTATACAAGTCTGTAAATACAAATGCTAATTCAAATAAGTAAAAAAATGTACATTTATAATTAAGAAATTATAATAATACGAAGATAACGCGAGAACAATTGACGAAGAATTGATCGGTGCATTTAAAAATTGAAACAACTCATGTGTTTCTAGTCTTTTGCACATGTTGTAATATCTTAACGCGATTATAAATCAAACGAAATTGGCTTATCTATTAATTAGGGTTGCAATTTAAATCCGTTTAAATCCGTAACACATTTATTCATCTAAACTAGTAGTCTCGAAAGAATCTCTTCATCTTTAACGCGTTTGTTTTAATTATTATCCTTTTAAGATATTCGAATAGTCTTGTAGCATCCTTCACTAATAGTTTCTTTTCATTTCTTTTTTTTTTGTTTTTTTGTTTTTTTTTGTTTTTTTTTTTGTTTTTTTTTTTTGTTTTTGTTTTTTGTTTTTTTGTTTTTGTTTTTTGTTTTTTGTTTTTGTAATCTTATTGAATGAACCCTTCCGATATATTGGCCTTTTAATACATCCTTACAAGCTAACAAATGATAAATACATTGTATACGTAAGGGGTGACCGGGACTGTCAATTGATATAAGGCCTCTTTTTACGGCCTCTCACTGTTCTATTTTTTTCTTTAGATAGTGGTACGTCATTAGTTAACTCCAATAATCGAGAGGATAACAACAATTATCGAAGAAGAACATGGTCGCGAGCTGTATTCAGTTCCCTTCAACGAAAGGGCTTGGAAAGACGATTTGCCATTCAAAAGTATATAGCGAAGCCCGATAGGCGACAATTAGCTGCTATGCTGGGACTTACAGACGCACAAGTTAGCTTTAGCTATTTTATATAATTATACTCGAATCTGTAATAAATTGCACTTTAAGACAATTACTTTTGGCACTCTTATGTGTTATTGTTCGATATTGTACTCATGATATTTGAAGAGATTATCTAACAGACAGTTATTCCTAATTTATAAAGAAATTAAAGCTTTGTACTTTTGCTCGAGATAACAATATAAAATTCACATGACATGTATTGTAGAATTTATAGTTAATTCTTATAGAATTATTCATCCGTATTGTGCAATATCATGACGCCTAAGATGAAAAACAGATATGCAAATTCATGTATACTCAGAACGATTAATTTTGTTTATGCAATAATTTGTTAATAGAGTAAATTAATTGTTTGATATCAAAATTAAGTGTATTCATATCTACCAATCTATCTATCTATCTATCTATCTATCTATATATATATAAAAATTATATTAAAGTAGTAAAATGGCAAAATTCTCCGTAGCATTGTGTGTAATATTTAAAATCAAAATAAATTGCCAAATAATATTGTATATTATTCATGATGTTAAACAATTCGTCGATTTAAACATAAAATCCAATATAAATTACAAATGTGAATTTTTGAAAATTGAAAATTGAATCTTTATAGGCTTATCAAATATATTTTGTTAATTTCCAATCTTCACAACTCAATGGTTATTATACTAGAAATTTATAAGCCTGATAAATGAGCTTGTAATTATTTTTCTCACAATAAGAACGATCGGTTAACATATTACATTAAAAATAAACTGTATATACGTTTATTTCTTCATTCTTTTATTTACTCAACTTTTATACTCTTTATAATGAAAGTTAATTGCTTACCAAGCACATGTGATAGCTCACCGATATTTATATGAACAATGAACAAATAACTATAAGTTGTACCAATGATTATTCAATAAATAAAATTGTCATTGCTTAATCATCGCGTATTTTATATTAATGTTATAATTTGCTTAGGTCAAAGTCTGGTTTCAAAATCGACGAATCAAGTGGCGACTTACGAAAGAGAGTGAAAAAGTTATTAAAGCACAAGATTCAGATGACGAGCATATCAATGTGGAATGAAATCCTTAATCACATAATAAAAGAATAGATATTGAAATTGTTTAAAAATCGATAAGTAGTCATTGCCGAGGTACAGAATGCATGGGTCCGAGTGTTGGCCGAGTGATTGGCAACGTCGCATGATACTCATTTGTCTTTTGAAAGTTTTTGTATTAACAGCCATGACCTACGCATTAAGACGTCACCGCTTCATCAAATTCTTTATATAACAGATAGGAATATGTCGTACTTGAATTTGAAATTTAATAAAAACACGATAATCATTAAATACTCTTTTTTTATTAATTATAATTTTTAGGTTCTGTTTAAGAAAATTTCTGGTGCAATTATTGTAATAATATTATTTTTGGATAAAGCCACGAATAGCATTTATAATACATTGCAGTATTAGAATCAGAAATTTAGCAAAACTGGCTAAAAGCCATTGAAATGTCTATACGTTATTAAACGAAATATTAATAAATTTTTACACTTTATTAATGAATTATTGATATTGCATAATATTAATATTGTTTATAATTAATATTAATAACATGAATCTTTCGTTCTTGTTTTCTTTTTCTTTTTCCCTCTCTCTCTCTCTCTCTCTCTCTCTCTCTCTTTTCCTCTCTCCCCTCTCATTTCATCCATTTTCACTTTCTCTCTTCATATCCATTTCGCTAGAGCAAATTATATTTTTTAAGTTTTATTTGTTAGCCGTAGATTATGATGACGTGTGAAACAAATTTTTATGAATTCGTAAATATGTAGGATAGGTTGGGCCATAAGTTAAGGAAATATAACATTTGTTATTATAGTAATTGAATTTTATAAATATTTTATCCTGAAACGGGCTCTTCGTCATAAAAATCTTGAATAAAAATATTTTAATGCGAGAATTGATTTAATCGAGAATTTTTAATAGTAGCACTATTGGTCAATAGAATCGTCATTTATACAAAGAATTTTTCGTTCAAAATTCCAATCTTTTAAACTAACTACGAAAATAATTGAAAACTACGATAAAATTCATAAAAACCTTGTTTTATTTGTCAAATTAATTTAAATAACATTAAGCTTTTTTTAATAAGTTTTTTTTCATTTTTATTAATCCTTATTTTCTTCATTCGTCTTTAGAAATATAATACTTTTTTTTACTATTAAATAATATAAAATAAGTTAATAAATTATTTTTTAAGCATAATTACAAACAAATTAATGTAAAAGGAAGAAAAAAAATTGTGCTCGATGATCGAGTGGAGGTTAATAAATATTTGTTTAAAAATCCACTCCACTGTAACAATCATCACATTCAATATACAAATATAATTCGTAAAATTAGCATAAAATATGTAAAAATTCACGATAATTTATAAATTGACAAATATTTGATTTCTAATAATATTAAAATATTTTTTAATCACACAAATGCATTATATTTTAAAATAATTCTTATAAATTTCCTCAACCTTTCGCGGTTAAAAATAAAATACATAGTACTTTATCTTACCGTGATGCTAGTAAAGGCAATGAATAAAGTTGACACGCTACAACTTCATCACTTCTAAAAGTGATAGTTTCAGTGGTTTGTCACTAGCTATTAGCTGATGGAGTTTGGTTGGGGAGTCTGAGATATAGTTTAGAAGTTGTGGACCGATGCAATAGTCTCTATACTCGAAAACGCATCAAGATAAGAGAATAAGAAAGACCTTGATAGATAAGGTTTTGTATTTGGCTTTTGAAAGTTAATGTTCAACCATTGAGTATAGGAAATACATTATAGAGGATTGAAATTGAAATGAAGGAATGAAAATATTTATTGTAATAATTATGTTGACCTATTTCTATCAAAATTTAATAAATGACGACAGAAGTACAAAAAATTATACTACCATTATTGAAATGTCCTGGTATCCAAATAAACGATATATATACATATATATGTATATATATATTTTTTTTTTTTAATTTTTGTATTATTCTTTGTTCTATATATAATAATAGTTGAATTTTATATTAAACAGTACAAAACAACATTTCAGACTTTATATTTTTATTTAATTCTCCTATTCATACAGAAATATAACTTTACTATGTATTTTAATAATATATGTTCGTAACGATATTGGAGAGTAATTTTTCTTCAATATTTTTATATTTAATTTAATTTAATTAATGAACAATTTATGAATTTGCATTTTTTAAATTTTTTACTAGAAATTTAAGAATTGAATCTATATTTTATAACAATATCGTTTTTGTTTTTAATTTAAAAAATCGCCAATAATTAAATGTATTGAGTATTATTTGTTATATAATCGATTCAATAATAATTTCATTTACACAATATAACACCTATAATAAATAATTTTTTTTTATTTTCTGTAAATATACTCTTTATAACGTATGTTCTTAGCATTATGATTTAGTTAAACTATAACAATTATTTTACAACCCTCTGAATTTTTAAAAATATTTTAAATAGTTTATATGATTATACTAAGGAATTTTTCCAATTTATACACAATTTAGAGAGATTTAAATTTTATTTTATCTTTTGTCTGGCTTGATGAAAATTAAGAATTTATTAAAATCATTAAATACATAATTATATAATTGAAAAATGCATGATATAGATGAACAAGTGAACAAAACGAGAGAAACGATATAAATAATATGTGATATGAAAGAGATGTGTTATGAAAGTATAAGTAAAAAATATAATAATAATATTTTCGATTATGAATTAATTTGATTGGATTAATCGTATTTGATATTTTATATAGAATTTATTGATTTTTTTTTCTATTCTTGTTTTATACAACAACTTTATGCAAGTTATAGAATTTATTATTTTTATCACTTTCGCTATCACTGTAATAATACAAAATAATTATTTCATGATTCATTAAATATATCATGATAAGTATTTGAAAATGGGTACATAGGATATTAAATAGCAAAAGCTATGCATGTTAATTCGTATACATAACTCAATGCACATTAATCATAATACAGAAAGTACTACATACATGAAATAATAATTGGAAAAGAATATTAAAAAATATATGTAATTTCGATTGAACAGAAATTGAATGCAAACTTTCAGGACGCTTTGACTTTAAATTTTAATTGTGATAAGCCATGCATGAATAACTAGATTGCAAGACAACACAGCTTTAGACAAGACTTTTACGTAAATTACGTATGAGGTTACCGCTAAAGTGCTTTCATGTATGCATAGCCTCTTTTCATACTTGTTTCAATTTAAATTAAGACTAAGTTGATCATTGAGATTTAAGGTATTTGACACATAGCAGAAAGCATTGCAATCATTTCATTTATAGAGATATATACGATGTTTTTTTTTTTTTTTTTTTTTATAAATGATCGATAAAGACAAATATAAAACATTTGTTTATTATATTAATGACGTAGCTGGTAGTTTATCTATGATTTAAGCGATTAAATGTTCCAGCGTCATTAATATTTTATACTGTTGACGTTAGAATTTATCGGAATAAAAATTAATGGAAATTTAGTCGATTGAATTTAATAATTTGTACTAATGAAATACTATAAAGGAATTAATAATTAGTCAGTAAAGTGTCAGAATAGAAATGAGGGTAAAAATAAAAAATTACAAATTTAAAACGTATTTACATCTGCTTATGTACCATTATTATCTCTTAATATCACTTGATCTTACGTTAATGTTATAATGCGATATTTCGTGTATTGTAAAAAAAAAATTGTCAATACTCTCGGAAGATCCTGGAGATCAGCCATTCGGTTGGAGAATAATTTCGTGTCCTATCGTTGTTGATGAACCTGGAAATTAAAAGATACGTTGAGACGTATTTGGAGATAAAGATGGAAGTCCGAGAAAGAAGAAAGAATGGGAGAGAGAGAGAGAGAGAGAGAGAGAGAGAGAGAGAGAGACGGGAGTATGAGTAAGGGCAAACAAAGAATTCCTTTACGTAGAGAGGACAAGAGAAAGCGATAGAGAAAGTCGCACACTTACCACTTCCCTAACGATTCCTAGGGGACAGAAAGTGAGGAAAGCCGGAGGACGTGACTCTCGATCTATTACCGCTAATCCACGAGCGGCTCTTGTCACATTTTGCGACATCAATCTTAACATACAAAAGCACTTACACAAATCATATCTCACGCGCCCGCACTTCTACACACGAATCGAAGTTGTGACAAAATTATTTTACCATTTTATTCCAAGAGTTAGAATTCTGTAACAGATAAAAGTATAATAACTTAAATACAAGTTATAAAGTTATAGACCACATGTCAAAGGTTAAAGATACCTACGACATTAATAATATCTTGTGAAATCTTTAATGTCTATATATATATATATATATATATATATATATGTATGTATGTATGTATGTATGCATGTATGTATGTTAAATTAATAAAATCAGGTAGTTTTGAGATAGAAAAAGACAAGGTAATAATAGTGCATGCAAGATAAGGATATATTGTATTCGATAAAAAATTATATATAATTATATATAATTATAGTATAAATTAAATCATTAGATGACAGTGTAGCTATAAATGTACGTAGCGAAAAAATCTGAATTAATTGCAAGAACGAGGAAACAAAGGATAAAATTCATTTCGGAAAGCTATGTTGGCCGATTCTGTTGGTCATCTCATCTTATTGTCAAGAGTTCCCTTATATCTTGTTCATCTAAGCTTTTCGTTGTTCCGTTGATGATTTAAGCAGCTTTAGATGAACGATTTTTTCTACTTCTTTAGGAGTTATGCCTTTCAGTGCGCACAGGCATCGCGCGATCCACATTTATCCATTGAATTTATTTAGTATATTTTTTCATTTTTTGAAGAGTTTTTGAACGATCCTCACTTTCTTCTAACTCTCACTATATATTTTACTATTTATTTTATTGCAAATTTTTTACCAGTTCTTTCAATTCTTATACATTCATGTATGAATATTTAACATGTTTAAAGGCTTTGATATTAAAGAGAACAAAGCAGTAAAAATGAAATATGATAAGCCTTGTGAATTCATTATTACACAAACATTTGATTCTATTTTCACGTAAAAAGTATTCAGCCGATCATGTCAACTAAAGTACTTATTAAAAATTTTAAAATTTCAAAATACCACGACTACTTAAAATTTATTTCCTAAATATTAACAAATATTTTTATGGCTTTTCGTATTATAAATATGAAAGACGAAGGTTGATT